TGGAATACTACGCAGCAGAAATAAAAAAAGAACTACTAAACTTCACGACAGCATGGATGGAACTGGAGAGCATTATGCTAAGCGAAATAAGCCAGGGGGTGAAAGACAAATACTATATGATCTCACCTATAAGTCGAACCTAACCAATGATACAAAGATGCAAGGAAAATAAGACCAGCAACACTGAAAGGAAAAGAAATCAACAGAGACAAGAGGGAAGGAGGGAGCGGGGGTGCTGGGAAAAGGAAGGGAAGGGGAAAGTCAAAGAACATGTAGCAAGGACTCATGGACAAAACCAAAGGGGAAGAGCTGGGGAAGGAGGGAGGGGGCAAGGGAAAGTGGTGGGGGGTTGGCAGAGACAAATGTATTTGAAAAAATAAATTAAAATAAAATTAAAAAAATGCCAATGACATATTTCACAGATACAGAACAAACATTTCAAAAATTTATATGGAATTATGAATGACCCCAAATAGCTGCAGCAATTTTGAGAAAGAAGAACAAAGTTGGAGAGATGACAATATCTGACATAAAACTACATTATAAGGCCATGTATTCAAAAGAGTCTGGTACTGGCATAAGACATATAGATCAATGGAACAGTTAGAGAGCCCAAAAATTATACCATGTTTCTGTGGTCAATTAATATTCAACAAATGGGGCAGAAGCATAAAATGGAGTAAAAGTAGCCTCTTCAACAAATTGTGTTAGGAGATCTGGACAGCTACATGCAATTAAGTGAAACTCAACCACTAACTTACACAATAGAGAAAAATAAACTGAAGGTGGATAAAAGACTTAAATAGTAAGTCGCAGCTTAAGTCACAACACCATAAAAGTCCTAAAGGAGAACATAGGCAGGAAACTCTCAGATATCCCACAGAGCAATATCTTCACCAATATGTCCGCTAGAGCACGGGACATAAAGGAAATAGAATAAACAAGTGGGACCTCATCAAAATAAGAAGTTTTTGCATGGCTAAAGGAAACATCAGCAAAATGAAGAGGAGACCAACCATATGGGAAAATAAATTTGCCAATGATACCTCAGACAAGGATTTGATATCCAAAATACATGAAGAACTCACATGACTCCACTTCTGGAAGGCAAACAATCCAATTAAAAAATGGGCAAAGAACCTGAACACTTCTTCAAGGGGGACACACAGAGAGGCCAGAGACATTTGAAAGGATGCTCAGCATCATTAGTCATCAGAGAAATGTAAATTGAAACCACATTGAGATACCACATCACACCAGTCAGAATGGCCACCGTACACAAATCAACAAACAAGTGCTGAAGAGGTTGTGGAGAAAAGGGAACCCTAGTACATTGTTGGTGGGAATGCAGGCTGGTGCAGCCACTGTGGAAAACACTATGGAATTTCCTCAAAAAACTAAAAATGGAACTGCCTTTTGACCCCACAAATCCATTGCTGGGATTTTACCCTAAGAATCCTGAATCACCAATTCAAAAGAACCCACGCACCCCACTGTTCATAACAGCCAATTTACAATAGCCAAGTGCTGGAAACAACCTAAGTGCCCATCAATAAACAAGTGGATCAAAAAACTGTGGTACATTTACAGAATGGAATGTTATGCAGCACAAAGAAAGAAAGAGCTACTATATTTTGCGACAGCATGGATGGAACTGGAGAGCATTAATATGCTAAGTGAAATAAGCCAGGTGGTGAAAGACAAAACCATATGCTCTCACCTATAAGTCAAACCTAATCAACAAAACCAACAAGCAAGAAAAATATAACCAGCAACATTGAAATAAAAAGCAAACTGACAGTAACCAGAGGGAAGGAGGGAGGTGGGTAACAGGGAAAGAATGGGAAGGGTCAAATCAAGGAACATGTGAAAAGGACCCGTGGACGCCACCGAAGGGGGAAAGCACTGCTGGCTGGTGGTTGTCGTGGGGCAGGGGAAAGTTGTGGCATGAAAGTGTGCTTGAACAACAAAAAACAAGTGAAAAAAAAAACACAAAGGACATTTGTACTTCACTTTGTTCTTTTGCCTTGAGATGAGAGGAGATATTCTCCTTACACAAGTGTTCCTGCGGTTTGGTAGTAGCAAGAGAACTTGTAGTGTTTTCTTTTAGATGATGATGAAAATATACTCTGGCAATTAAAAAAATGAGTATGAGACTGTATGTGGCTGTGTGTGTATCTCTGTGTGTTGTCATTGTGTGTGTGACTGCATGTGACAGTGTGTAGCCTTGTGTGTGACTGTGTGCATGACTGCGGTGTGACTCTGTGTTGATTGTGTATGTTCTGGTCAAGTACTAACAGGATGGGGTGGGCGCTGGCCACTCTTACACTAGCAGGTATGTTCACCCTGTGCATATTTTGTTATGTACTGAAGAGCTCAACATGAAATTTATTTAAAATTGTAACAAAGTCTCTGTTTCTTTCTAGAAGAGGTTTCAATTAAACATGTGCCCCTCTGACGATCTTCACCATGGACAGGGCTGTTGGACATCAGAGCCAGGAAGTCAGGGTCCCCTGGGCTGCTCCTAGGATCCAACATGTTCCCAGTGCAGGTACCACCAATACTGAACATGGAAACCCTTGCACGCAGGAGGAAATCTTGAAGGACAATGAGGCACATCCCAGTCCTTAGGATCCGGTGTCCCTACTGTGGTGTCAGGACTGCTTCCTGTGGAGAGAGGGGCTCCTTCTAAGGACAGATGTGGGGAACCCTGTGTTTGGAGCACTGAGCTGACAGCCCTTTCTGGGATGATGTGGACCCCGAGATGGTGAGGTCCACCAGCCCTGAGCCTGGTCAGGCCTGTCAGCAGGGGGAGGGCCCGTGGGACCTGGGACCGGGATGGGGCAGGGCGCACGGAGAGTCAGACGCTGTGTGCAGCCATGTCCGCCTGAGAGAGGGTCACAGAGCTACACACAGCAAATCACCAGCAAGATGCCTGTGGAGCTCAGACTCATGTGCAAGAAGGTAAAAAGACACCAAGAAAGGAATGTATACTAAGATGTATTATTGGACATATTTTTAGCAGCTGAGCAGTTTGTTGAAAATTAGGAAATGTTGTAAACGAACATTAAGCCTTTGCTCTTCCCTAAAAGTCATGCCAGTAATAAGAATATGAAAACACTTAGAAACACACATAAAATTATGCAAATATGAAGGTACATAGCACAAACATTCACGAACACACAAAATTGCATGTGCAGGTAAAGCACACAGTAACACATGCCCACATTGATGCACACTAACTGACACACTAACACACAGAGTAACAGATGCACACATACACACATGAATGGGAGGAAGGTCTTTGTGAAGGAGTTTTCTGAACAAGGAGAGGAATTACAGGGAGATTCAAGAACACTTCCCAGCCTCTCTCTGCACCTGCTCACCAGATGGGCCCCAGGCATCCAGTGTCCTGAGCAACCCCCGCCCCCTCCAGATGGACTTTGGTGTCTGGGGAGGCACTGTATCGCTCTGTGTGTGTGGTGCAGTGACCTAGGGCTGTGCCCTTGGTGGTCACAGGGCTCAGCTGCAGGGAGAGCTGGATCCAGGATGTGTCCCAGGGTCAAGGTTCTGCTCTGTAAGGAAAGTTGGGGTGAGCACTACCCCCGGCTCCCATGCACCCCATCCTGGCAGCCCCTTTCTGTGGCTCACCAGTCTTGAGCCTGACTCTTGCAGCTCACCTGGGAACAAGGGGGACACTTTGAGTAAGGGATGCCTTGCCTTTCAGCCTCTTTACATGCATGATCTGAGGCCCTCAGTAGTCAGTCTCCATCAAGGAGGAGGTCCCCAAGCATGTTGTGCCCACGATGCACTCTTGTCCATGGGGTCACACCCAGCGGGCAGAGAGGGAAACACAGGCTTTCCAGTGGCTGCGCTCGCTGTGGGCCCGGTTCTTATTGACGTGTGGGGAGATCCTTCATCGGTGAGCTGCAGGAGACTCAGAAGAGACTAAAGCATACATGTGCACACTCACCACACATAGTCACACACACATGTGCCAGCAAGTCAACACATGTGCACACACATGCACACACATACTCCCCCACACGACCTCAAGCACCTCAAGGAGGAAGCCTGTCCCCAGGTTCCTGAGGTGCAGCTGACTCCCACATACTCAGGGAGCCAGGATGGCTGAACCCGGACATTCAACAACATCCAGATTCCTGCTGCTGGGACCAGAGAGCGTTCGCTTTTGTGACAGGAGTCTGCAGACATGATGAGTCAGGGGCGGCTGAGGTACAGGGGTTGACGTGGGGAGATTACCCTGAATTCTTTTGTTGGGACATAAATGGGACCATGTGTCGTTTTCAAAAGGAAACTAAAGAAAATCAGAGTAACAATACTGTGATTGTAGAAACGTATGTTTGGGTGTGTTCCCACACCCGCCCAGTTAATGAGGGGCAAGAGGCGAATGTGTGGCAGGGAGGACAGAGGCCTGAGAGGTGGAGGTCCTGGGGGACGATCGCGACCCCTGTGGGGCCGGGTGTGACTGTCAGAGGGAAGGACCCGTGTGGGGACACTGTGTACGTTGGGGGTCAGAGGGCCTGAGCTCAGCAGACGGGGGCGCGGGCGGGGCTGGACGCCTCTGTGGGAAGCGTTTGCGCCACGGGGAGGTGAGAGCACTCAGGGTGGTGCGTTGCCAAGGAAGGACAAGGACACACGGGACCCTCATGAAAGAAAGGCCCCAGGCGCGGGGTGGAACCTCCTCTGCAGGCAGGCAGACAGGGTCACTTCTTCCTCTGCTGGCTGCAGTGAGAATGCGGGGAATCAGAACCACGAAGAAGGAGGAAGTGGCCCTGGATGCAGCTGAGGGAGTGGAGAGGAAATCCCTGCCTCCACGGGGAAGCCCCTTCCTTCCCCGCCAGGCCCACACCTGCCCGTGCAGATTTTCTCCGTGGTCTGTGGGACCTGAGCGCCCCCGGCAGCCGCGCCCTCCTCTCTCCCCCAGAGGGGTTTCTGCCTGTGCGCACCCTGACTTCCGCTCACTGTGTGTCTCGCACAGTAATACACGGCCGTGTCCTCAGCTCTCAGGCTTCTCAGCTCCATGTAGGCTGTGCTCGTGGACTTGTCTGCGGTTATGGTGATTCTGCCCTGGACCTTCTGTGCGTAGTTTGTGTTACCATAGTCAGGGTAAACCATCCCTATCCACTCGAGCCCTTGTCCCGGGGCCTTTCGCACCCAGTGCACGAAGGAGCTGCTGAGGGTGTATCCAGAAAACTTGCAGGGGACCTTCACTGAGGCCCCCGGCTTCCTCACCTCAGCCTCAGACTGCACCAGTTGCAACTCTGAGTGGACACCTGTGGAGAGAAGGCAGAAGTGTGTGGAAATGTCCCTTGACTGTCCCTGACCCCTCATCAACCCAGGGACTGGGGAGCCTCTCACCTGCAGCAACTGCCACCAGGAAGAGGGCTCTCCAGCTCCAGCCCATGGTGAGGCTCCGAGCGTCAGACTCCTGCTGCGGAGGCTGTGGCTGTGGGCAGAGCTGTCAGGACTCGGACAGACCCACATTTCACCTCGACTGCCTCTGCTCATTTGCATACTCAGGAGGCAGAGCATTTCATAGCTGATTATTTGACTCCACCTGGGAGAGGGTGGAGGACGCAGAGGCCATGCTCAGTGGGGGACTCAGGGGTCAAGTCCAAATCAGTGTTTATGGACATGTGTCCCCGGCCAGGTCCCTGAGCTCTGTGCTGACATAGCTCCTCCAACTGAGGGAAAAGCCCCCACAGGACATGCTCCACATTGTGATCCCACCTTTGAGTGACACAGAGACCACCTGGACCAGGGCTGGCCTTGACTCCTGCATGTCCTCTTGCTGGGCCAGTGTGTCTCCCAAATTCTGCCCCCGGTGAGTTAATAAAAGCCTCCCTGACCCAGCTCCTTATAATTCAGATATAAAGAAGCCCTAGAAATACCTGCACTGACTGTGGTTCACAGGTTTTACTGAGTTTGTTAAATTCTCTGATGGAATGGGATATTACAGTCACCTCATGTCCAATTTATTTTAGATGTTTTTTGAGAAGAGGAAGAGCCAGGCCCTCAGAAGAAATCCCTCCCCAGCTCCCTCTGCACCTGCTGCTGGGGCAGCAGCCCTGAGATCGCGGGTCCCGCATGTCCCTTGTTGCACAGCCGGTGCCCTGCAGGGGAGGGTCCTGTCTGGGTCACAGGGCATGGACCTCTCATGGCTGTACATTGACTTTAGGGTGCTGCCTCAGGGACACCATGTGCTTTGACATCTCTGGACACAGAAAACTTGCCGTACTAAACCACAGTGACTCTGTGGGGAGCCCTGTTACCAGTGCTCTATGAGCCACCAGGGAACCCCTTCCCTGGAGCTTCCAGATGCACTGACTCAGCTGACACCCCTGAGTCCAGAAGCTCTTGGGGGCTTTGGGGGTTTCTGATGTCCTGCAGTTCCTCTGCTTGCAGGTCCCATCTCAGTTTCCCCGCATGTGGCCCTAGTCCCACTGCACGTCTGCTGCTCAATAAATCACCCTCCCACACACACATACACTGTGATGATTTCCATGGTAATGACCTCAGGCCTCCCTTCTCCCCTGTTCCTAGCACATGGGCAGGGCCCCCCCATAGGTTCTAGGCCTGGGAGTGACTTCCGGAGCGAGCAATTGATGGGTTGCTCTGTGAGGGACAGGCTGACTTTTCATCCTTTCTGGATGTTCCATCCTGATGGTTATCTTCCCTTCGACCACCTGCCTTAGGGACCTCAGACCCTGCATCCCACGTGGAGTCAGACTCACTGCTCAGTGGCCCACGGCTGCACCTGTCAGTCGCTGCAAGAACCGCCACCTCCTCCTGTAATTGGGCTCCTGGTTCAACCCTCATGGAGGTTCCTGCACTGACCAAGGCACCACAGATGAGAACTCAGGCACCGCTGGTCGTTACTCAGGCTGCCTTTCAGAGGAGGTCTTCTCTAGGGTCGGTCATGGAGGAGTTGCGTGATGTCCCATATATGGACCCTCTGTCCTCCACATCCAGCAGCCCGGCAGGCACTGAGATCTCACCTAGTTCCAGGAACGGACGAGTGCGTCTGTTTCAGTGTTCACTGTCCAGGGAATGTCACAGGTGGCTGCTGCCTAAGAGAGTGCTGAGAAAGTCCCCATCTCTTCAGGACTTTGGGTGTGCGCTAGGCTTATCAAGCATGTGTCAGTTATGTGTGACACCACATCATTTCAGTTAGTGCATATTTACCCTCTATGTTGATCTCGTGATTATAGTGTATTATAACCCTTGGGACCCGCGTCAAGCAAACATCCTTTCTGAGCAGATGTTCACAATGATCCGATAAATCAAATACACCTGTATCATTCCAGTAAACACATGTCACAAATGTTTCCACATGAAGGCAAATTGCAGTGGATTATTTTCTGAGATGAATGGGTAAAAACCGTTTGCAAGGTCAATCACTGAGGACCAGTGTATTGCGGCTTGTCATCAGCTTCGTCTGCTGAAGTTGCCTCTGAGCCCCCATGCCACGCAGGACTGTTTATTCTGTCCTCAGCAATCTCCTTTGAGTCTTCACGAGTATCCAATACTTTCAATGAGCTTCACATGTCTGTGGCACAGAGAATGTCAGCTAACAGCTTTGTAAACTCTAACATGACATCAGTCAATGAGATCCTCCATTTTGTTCACCAAGCTCCCAGTACTGTTTCAAGTTTACCCTTACGTAAGCTCTGATGGGGAAATTTGGGCAAACTTGTGTGCAGTCTGCTTTATCACAGAATTGGTCATGTTCCTCTGGAGAAGGAGAACCAAAAAATGCACATTTACACTTACATTTATAAGGAATTGGTGCTCATAGAATGTTCAGTGAGACGCCCCACGGGCCCATGAGCGGCAGCTGCAGGCAGCAGACCCAGGGAGGCTGCCGCCGTAACTCAGCCTGGCCCGGAGGCTGACGCCCAGGGTGCCCAGGGCAGGAGACGACTTCGGTCCCCGCGGCAGAATCCAGCACATGGGCAGGAAGGGCTTAACTTTCCCTCCTTCACTGTTTGCCCAATTGGTCCCTCAGGGGAGTGGAGGGTGCCCACTCACAATGGAGAAACAATCTGCTTTTCTGAGCCATCAATTCAAAAGAAAGTTACCTGTAAGCACACTGTGGACAGACCTAAGGATAACTCCCAGCCAACAGTTTGGGCACCTTGTGACCCACGCAAACTAAAACAAAAACAAAAACCAAGTCACAACAGAGCTATTTAGGAGATGAGTTCCTCAGTCAAAAAATCACATGTGTCTGACCAGTGCATTCAGATAGAGGATCTCCTGGTGTCACGAGCGCCCCCTGGTGTCCTGGGAGCCCCCTGCAGCTCAGCCCTCCTATCTCCCACAGGAAGGTTTGTGTCTGGGCTTAGGCTGTCTCCCCTACTCTGTGTGTCTCACACAGAAATACACAGCCGTGTCTTTGGCTCTCAGACTCTCCCTTTGCAGGTACAACATGTTCATGGTGTTGTTTCTAGAGATAGTGAATCAGGCTTTCATGGAGTCTGCATAGGCTATGGAACTTCCATCACCCCATATACTTGCCACCCACTCCAGTCCCTTCCCTGAATCCTGGCAGCCCCAGTGCATCCAGTAGCCACTGAAGATTAATCTACAGGGTGTGCAGGAGACTATCAGAGACATATCACTCCCTCCCCCACCGCCCGGCTTCATACGTCCAGGGCCAAGCGGGACATGCCCAGTAAAGATGTAGGGCCCGTTTCCTGTAATAAGAGCACGAATGAGTGTATGAATCTGGTGTTACCCACACTCCAGGGCTGTATATGCCTGTGGACGCAGGGTCTTCAGTGCAGTGGAGAAGCTTGTGCACCACCTGTGACATGGTCCTCGATCAGCCAGAGTGAGTCAGGTTCACCTAGAATGGTCACAGGCAACTGTTGCTAAAGTGTTAGGTCCATGACCAGTATTGCGGATCCACCGAGTCCCTGTTCTGTCCCCACTGTTATCGGATGCCAGAGACAATCTCAAGCCCTGATGTAAATGGACTTCACAGTGTGAGTGTCAGAAGGTCAGGTGCAGCTGTCGCTGTGGCAGCGGGTCCTGTGGTCAGACTTGGTACCCACCGTTGTCCCCTCCCAGGCACACTCTGGCTCTCCTAAGACTGCCACACACTGTGGGCAGTGCGCTGCTGCATGTGGCTCTTTGTTGGAAAGACCTCGGCCCAGAGCACACAGGGGCTGTGGGAATTTGGATGATGTAAGTTTTCTTCCTCTTGCTGAAGGCAGTTAGAGAGAGGAATAGACACTGTCCAGGCCAGACTGATCCCTCTTTGTTCCTGCTGGGAGCTGCAACCTTGTCCACTAGGGGAACAGACTGAAATGCCGCCACCTGTGTAGAAACTGTTTCTTCTACAACTGCTGTACAGGTCCTGACAAAACCAAACCAAACCAAACCAATGGAACAAAAAACAAATCAACGACAATACAAATAAATACAACAATAACAAATAACAACAATAAAAGAATAAGAAAAGAAAAAAAGACAAAAATGCAAACATACAGAACAGTAAAAGACAAGAAAGGGAAAGAATTAGAGAAATAAAAAATAAATAGAAAAGAGAATATGAAAGGGAAGAAGGAAGGGAAAATAAAGAAAAAATAATATAAAGACTAGAAAAAGAAAAATGGAAATACTAATAACAAATGGAGAAGCCAAAGAACTTACATGCGCAATCTATGGACATGAACTAAGGGGGAGAGGTTGCTGGAGGGAAGTGGGGTACCAGGCAGAAGATGGCAAAGGGCGAAAAATTGGGACAACTATAATAGCATCATCAACAAAATACACTTTTGAAAAAAGAAAAGTGAAAAAATAGAGTAAGTCAAGGAAAAAGAGAATAAGAGGTATCGAAGAAAAAGAGGAAAAATAAAGATAAACTAGAAAGGAAAAAAATAATGAGATTTTAAAAGATTAATTAAGACAAATGTGTGGATCCTCTGCACAGACTGATGTGCCGGCTGCGCTCACCCTCAGGATAAGCTGATCGTGAAGTCCACTGGATCTTGCTCCAGGGTCATCCAAAGCTGACCACTTGTCCAGCCCTGGGCCTCCCTGGAGGTTCTCTGCTGCAAGCCAATGTCCGACGTTCTGCTCAGCCAGCCTTGGGCAAGCTGTTAGGGTGGGGCTTCTCGCAGATCAGCAGGTTGAGCCTCCCTAGCCCAGAACTTGGGTCAGTCTCAGTCTTGCCCTTGGAACGTCCTCACTCTGAGTGGCTCTCCCTTCCCCCTTAGAAGTGTGGTCAGTGGGAGTGTCCGGGGCGGGCAGAGGTGGTTCAAATGGTCTCGGAGGTGTTGCTGTAGTGGGGCGGCATTTCCTCTTTTTTCCATGGCTGGAGGGGCTGAACTCACTGGGGACCCGGGATCTGCTTCCCTCTAATGCAGCAGCAGAGCCCAGAACATGCCCGCCGGA